AGGCTGTCGCTTTATGGATGTGTGATTTTAATTTTCAATAAACTTTTGCATCTTGGTTTATCTTGGAGTTTCTCTTTTCTGTCTCTTTTGCTTTTCAGAATTCCTTAGGTGTTAGAATAGTTTCATGCAGGTGCCTGAAACACCATGTGTAAGTCTGAAGAACAAGAATAATAGGTCACTTTGGTTCTGTCTACACTATTGTCAGTATTTGGGGTTTTTATTTAAGATACTCTATACCCAGGTCATCAGTCCTAGAAATAAATTTCAATGCCTACACAAACTTGCAAATATATTCTAGCCCTGTGCTTGTTTAATTTCATCAGGAAGCGCCAGGCACTATAGTATCGTTTGTCCAGGTCTCTGAACAAGTCTTGAGTTATGTCTTCAGTTGCCAAATCCACTAATAGAAATTTAACTCAAATCCAAATTTATCAAATAGTTTGGCTTCTGGGACATAGGCATTAGGAAATATCCGGAATTCTGTAGTGGGACCTATTATCATCCAGTGCTTTTATTTTTAATTTTTTTAATTGCAGTATGTTCTGATCTTTGGGTAATTGTTTTTAAACACTTAAAACAATTTCTCTAAATAGAAATACTATAGTAGCTTAGAAAAATACTTAAGAAAAAAACATGTTTATGTTTGAGATAAAAGTATAATAGTAAAATTAGATGATCTTGTTCCATTGATACAGTGTTTTCAATAATCTAATAGCTTTCTAATCCCTGTTTAAGAAATTTACAAATTTCTCAAATGGTTAGTTGAGTATGTTTAGTTTTTTAACATGTACTTTTTCTTTTGGAAGTTCTTCTTTTTTTTTCCTTTCACCCTATTCTTATGGACGTTTTTAACATCATTCTAGTGATGTTTATGGAAATGCATGTATTTCAACTGATAGAAAATATTTTCAATTACAGTTGATCTATCCAGAGAATAAATGCTACCTTTTGTCTTTGGAAGCAAGATTCACCAGCTAGAGAGAAAAGTTACAGGTGGGGCAGTACTGGGCAGAATTTAGAGGAGGAAACATTCCTTTTCTGGTGTTCCATGTCTTCTCTTTTTTTGACTTGCCTCATACTGGAGATGTTTTGCTCTACTCCAATATCCTTTTCCCCTCTTGGATTCTGCACTCCAGAATTGGTCTGGCAAAATAGATTTACCCTGAGCTATTGCCAGATTCTACTAAAGAGTTACTTTTTCACTAGCAATAGAAGATTTAAGGCAAAAGAAGGAATTCTTTGGTGGAATTCTAGGCCTCTCCAGCAAAATGGAAAAGACAACTTTGAGTTTGTATCTTCTCAAGAATTTTGACTCTCCACCATGTAGGTGATCACTCACCTCGAAATCAGGAACCCTCTTTTTCAATCCTGGGTGATCCTAAAGAGCTCTTACAGCTCTGAGATCCTGAATTTTATTCTTAAGAATGTGTACAGAAGTCTACCTTATTAGAGTTAAGAACTGGGACTCGACTTTACCAGGATTTCTCCTCAAAACTAGAAATACATGAAGCATGCCTCTTCTGTCTCTGTGTATTGGATTCCTAGAAAAATCTAGAATGCCTCTAGAGAAAACAACCAGAGACTTAGCACCATGTCATTTACCTGGGGAGAACTATGGTCTTACTTTTTTTGGTGTGTATGTGTGTGTATATTTTTTATTATTATTATTATTTTTTAGTGGGGGAAGATGAGAAAACCATAATGGCACAGGTCCTGTTGTCCTTGAACATTTTCCCATCTCTTCAGAATCCCCAGCAATCTTTGAGAGTGTCTGCTCAAACACTGTGACATTGTATTCATAAAGGAACAAAAAATGCTTATTCTTCAAGGCTTTAAAATTGGTCACAAACTGATTCAGCCTTGCTCCCTTTCCTGCAGCACATGGTGATGATCAGAACGCCTTCTATTTCAGACATTTTATTCTTGTAATAAACAGACTACCCCAACCTTCCTCCTTGTGGCTTCTACTCTCAGCTTCTACGTTAGAGAGGTATTCGCCATTTCTGAACTTTTCAGATTCTTATTCCCATTCATCCACTCACCCTAATTTAGGTTTGCTCAACTAAGAATCCTTGCCACTTCCTCCTATTAATTCTTAAACTGACGCCTCTTATCCCCTTGACCACACTCTAGAGTAGTAAACATTTGGGGCTGGAGGGGAAGAATGAAAGGAACCACTGTTTCTTGAGCAGCTACAGATTACAGGAAAATGTCCAGGGCTCTTGCATAATCTAATTTAATTGCCATCTCAGGCCTTCTGGAATGAGTGTAATGCCCATTCTACAGACTAAGAAAATGAGATTCAACAGACTTGTATAATACCCAAAGTCATTTAATTGATTTGTGTCAGAGCTAGAATGGGAACCCAGATGTTTTGATTGGCTCCAAAATTCATGTCCCTTCTTTGTTCATCTGTGGTTTGTGACCTACCTTCCTCAAAAATAGTTTAGGTGGCTTATAACAAATGAACTAATAAAATGGTCAGAAATAAAGACCATGGAGGGAATGAGAGAAAGGGATTGTAACAGGATTTGGAAGAAGGCCTTTACTGTAACTGGGGATCCAGGAGAAATTCAAAGCTTATAAATGTAATTTTATTTCCCTAATGGTGGATATGAATGGTTCAAGCCATGCTTCTGGTAGCCCTTGCTGTATATTTGACTGATTTGGGAGCATGGGAGAGAAAGGTAGACACTTCTGTAGGATACAGAGGTTACCTGCTTCTGGAGTCTGCGCATCCTGGCATCTTAGTTACTTTGTGGTGGGCAGAGATAGAGGAAGAAACACCTGGCAACCCCGCTGTGCGTTCCTGTGCTTTGATAGGGACTTACAGATGTCCCTAAATATATTCAAATGTGCCAACCATTATGCGAGGCTTCTACAAAGGGATGAAATGGGTTTGAGGATAACCAGGGGCCTCCTTTACTATATCCTTTGCTTCCTGCTCTATCGTGGTCTCCCATGTCTCCCTCACCACTTCACTCATTTTTTGATTATGTAACCTGTCACACTCCACGGTCTTATTTCTAGGAAGGTAGCACAGAATGAAAGAGAAAACTCTTGAACTAGGAGCTAGGAGACCTATCAACTCATCATTTAGCAATGTGTGACTTGGGCACATTTTTTTCTTAGTCTTATATTTACCCATGTGTACAATAGACATACTAATTTCTGCCCGTCCCAACACTGCCATCCCATGTCCTCCTCCACAGGGATGTGAGACCCATTCAAGAAAAGGAATCAAGGAGAACTTGGTAACCTGAAATCTTAGAACTGGAAGAGTTTGTTATATATATATAAACACCTGTTTCTACAACGTGGGTCTAAACCTGTCTTCTTGAGAAAGGCTAAAGGAAGAAATCAGCACCTTCCTGCTTTAAAGACAGTGATTGTAAAATGCAGCTGAATTGTCAATCGCACATTAATTGTCATGTTCACTTATGCAAATGTGTATACAGCATATTGTTTGAATGCCTCTGGCTGTGGCTCTGCAGTGATCCGGAACGGAGCCTTCCCTGTTTTGTGTAATTACAGAGAATGCAGAGGGGCAGCTTCAGAGACCACGCCTAGTACCACTGCAACACTCAGGTGTCAGACACTCTTTATTTTTTCAAACATTATTACACCATGTTTTTTTGGAACTTGAATTCATTTACAGAGCCTTCTAAATCTCGTACACATACACACACACACATAAAACTCAACGAAACATTTTTTTTTCCCCTCTCTACTCTAATATAAATTTGGCTGCAGCAGAGAAGAGACAAACAGGGGCAAAATAATACATTTTATTTGAGGAGTATTAAAGAGGAGCTTTTCCCCTTTTACATGCTCAGCCCAGTCTTCATTCTATGGTCATAATAATCACTTACTGTAAATACCAACAGTGTGTGTAGTTCTTTCTCCTCTTGTCTTTTTCAGTTCTCACCATAATCCTGCAAGGTAGGTTGCGTTATTATCCCTGTGTAACTCCTACTTTATGAGCTTCTCAAAAATGGGACCACTTCTTAGTTTTCTTACCTCTAGCATCTAACTCATGCAGTAAGTGTATATCTATTTAGTTTATGTAGTTTTCTGGTGATGGACATTTCCCGGCTTGCATATATGGCTTTCTAATATATCCTTGAGAAAGACCTAAACATTGATTTTTTTTGACTCTCTATCCTTCCCTGATTCTCGTACGCATCACTAGTTCTATATTCAAACAGAATTCAGGAACAGACGTCGATTGGAGAATACTGTATGTAATATAACACAGAATATGACAAAGCAACCCTAGTAAGTTTCCAAATTGAAGTTATGCTGAATGGAAGGCTAGTTTTTCCCTTTGTCTCCCAGGAGACTTGTGGAAACTCGGAAGAACAGTTCTTTGGGCTCTGGGCCTCCCTTCGTGTAGAGGGGCGGCTGGCATTCTGATGGGTTCCCTCACGGCCCACGAGCATCTAGGCTGAGAAAGCACGCATCCTGTGTGACGGCAGGGTGTGCTGCCGAATGCCCTGTTTGATTGGCTTTGCAGCTATTTTCTGCATATCCCAAATGGCTTAGGAAGCTACAGATGAAATGCCTCAGCTGCAGTTTTACCTTGGCATCTCCATGTCTTTCTTAAGCCTTTGGGTCTTTACTCTGTTCTTTTCCCTTATTGATTTTCAAATTTGTTTTGAGTTGAAGGGCACACAAGGGGAGAGGGATGGAGAAAACAACAGAGGGAAGAAGACGAAGCAGCGATTTTTCCTCTTACAAAGGAGGTGCTTTAGGAAGATGCTCAGCTTTGTCAGCTACACATGTAGGAAAAATATGGTTTGAGAATTGCCTGGTGATCCCTCCCAAGTCAGAAAAGATTCTTAGATGGGAACACAAATAACTTCTTCATATGGTTCTTGAGAAATGTTTTTACCAGTGTACAGTTAAGGCCATGTTTTACTCTGAGATCTGTTAGAAGTGAGCAGCCCCCACTCTTCAGTGTCCCGTGCTCACCATCATTCCCATGTTTGTGTTCCTAGGACTTCGATGCAATCTCAGTCTTCCTACGGTAACAGCTCCCCACCTCTGAACAAAATGAACAGCATGAACAAGCTGCCTTCCGTGAGCCAGCTTATCAACCCTCAGCAGCGCAACGCCCTCACTCCCACCACCATTCCCGATGGCATGGGAGCCAACAGTAAGAGCATCTCCCTGTAGCTGCAGCTGAAGGACCAGCAGGGCTAGTGTAGGGGAAGGCTGCTCTGGGAGGGGGGGAAGGCTCGCTCTGAAGCTAAGTGAGAGGCACAGTGGGACAGAAAAGATCAAAGCTAAGTGGCTTAAGTTTCTCACGGTGAACTTTTTTCCCACTTTTAAGATAGGTGATTCATCACAGGGCACATTGGTGGAGATGGAGAAGGCTGTTCCTTTAGGAGGGATAAGGATCTCTGTGAAAAGAACAGCCCACTTCCTGCCCACCTGGATGGGGATCCACTCCTGCATTCTCTCAGATAGTCAGAAGGAAATACATCCAACTTGTGGGAAGTAGAACAGTGCAGTGGACTTAAAATCTAGAGAAATAGGTTGTAGCCTGAAGTCTATTGCAATATTGTCTTCGTAGGTCTGGACAAGTCACCTCTCTGCTCTAATGCTCAGTTCTCCATTCATCAGATTATCACTCTGCATATTTAACCCTTTATGACTCTGTGTGCCTGCAATCTTGGCCTTCTCAACTCATCCACTCCATCCAGATACAGCCGTTAAAGAATTGACGTAGGGGAAGGATTCTCCCTTTTATTTATTCACACACAGATTCCTCACATCAACCAAGTGTAGCTATAAGAGACAATGTGGGAACTAGGCCTCCAAATGGATGATGAGCAGTAAGGTACATAGCTTTGCTGTAAAGATAATTAGCTTGTCCACTGACACTTACCTAGCAAAGTGGATACCTAAACTGGAAAGGAAAGGGAAAAAATAAAAGGGTGGTAAAAATGCAGAAGGGATACAGAAGCCTAAATTACCGTCTTTGTATCCTGTAATCACCCTCATAAAACAGTATCTCGAACTTGTCCTTTGAAATCCTTCATTATTTTGACCAAGCCTTTAAACTTGCATTTTACTGTTGCCTTGAAGAGATTGGGTTTTCTTAAAGAAGTTAAGGGAGGCTGGAATTGTGACTCTCTCTGGTTCTGATAGCAGATTTTAATGAGGTGAGAGGGATACAGGGTATAGTTCCTGGTGCGGCAACAAAGATGTTAGGGCAGACTACTCTGTCACCAGTGACAGGTGCACCTACTTTGACAGTAAAAGGAAAATATACCTTTTTTTTTTTAACTTTCTTCCTTGTGACATCTTAGAGTCCTCAACTTTTTCTTGAGATGCCAAAATAGTGGTAGTGGTAGCAGACCTTCACATCCTTTCTCTTATTTATACTTCATGACTTCCCTCCGATGGTGTCAGGAAAGCCATAGGGGAAAGTGGTGAGACACGATAGGCCTGTACTTTCTAGCTGGCTAGTGGCGGGCAGAGACCTTTCCCCTTTGGCACAATACTATTCACTAAAGTAGAAGCAAATTACTTTCATCTTTCTGTAGGTAAATTATTGGTATTGAGGTTTTCTTCTCTATAAGTGAGTGTTTACAGTGTACGGTTTAGTAAAAACACCAATGTTGGTGGTATTCCCAAATACAATCCCGCAATGAACCATAAGAAAGAGCTGGGGTCTTTGATTGCATCCTCCCTTATGAGGCATTTGGTTCCCTACAAATGTTGCAGTACCTCCTCCCATTCCCAAACCAATAGGCCACAGGTCCCTCGTTCATTCACAGATTTGTTTATTTGTCCACTTAACCTAAGCCTCCTGAGCATCAGCTCTGTGCCAGGCACTGCGCTGGGTTTGTGGGGACCCAGACGGGCATAAGGCTTAATCTCCATGCTGGAGGAGGTTAGTCTAGCAAGGGAGATAGGAATATAGCCCACGGGTGCAAATACAGGGAGGACTATATTAACGTCAGGAGCAACGAGCAACTGGGACAGAGCATTAGAAGTAGAGAACAGGGGAGGGTATAGCCCAGTGGCAGAGCGTGTGCTTAGCATGCATGAGGTCCTGGGTTCCTTCCCCTGTCCCTGCATTAAAATAAATAAATACATAAATGAACCTAATTACCCCTCCCAAAAATAGATAAAAAAATCAAAAATTAAAAAAGAAATGGAGAACAAAGTGGGAAGAGATTGTCCTAAGAGAATGTACCAAGGTCAAGGCAAGTGTGTATTTAGTTTGGAGTTTCATGACTGTTCTGCTCCATGAGATGAAGGATGCTTTGAAGGGGTGTAGTGAGTGATAAGACTGAAAAGGAAGGCTGGCAGATTAGGCCCTTGGTAGACTTAAGCCAGGCGAGATGGACCACTGGGATGCTGATACGTGATGACGGCAGTAACCCTCTCTGTTCCTCCTGCTTCTGTTCAGTTCCTATGATGAGCACCCACATGCCAATGGCTGGAGACATGAATGGACTCAGCCCCACCCAGGCCCTCCCTCCCCCACTCTCCATGCCATCCACCTCCCACTGCACCCCCCCACCTCCGTACCCCACAGATTGCAGCCTTGTCAGGTGAGTCCACAGCATGTGCCCCTGGGGGCCTGTCCTCAGCATCTCTGGGTGGTGGAGGGTGGACATTGTGAAGGTTAACAGCACAGTTGGAAAGCAAGAAAGTAGCCCTATGGTTGAAGTTCAGCCACTGTTATCTCTGATCTATGGAGTCATCAGCAGTATTTACTTAAAAAAAAAAACAAACTATAATTAGCATGGGAAAAAGTGAAAATGTGAATTTATGGGCATATAAATGTCATGCCTTTTTCCCGCATCTTCACTGATTCCCCTCCTCCTCCATCACATTTTTGCAGTCAGTTGTAGCCTTCAAATTGGTGCTCAGGGCTGGGGTTCCCAAAAGGGCAGTAAACTTGCTATCTCGCTCCCTTTCCTGCTCTCTAGGCCTCATAGCTCTCAGCCACCACAGGATCGTTATTTTGGAGTTGGATGTCCATAAAAAAATGTTAATGTTAGCAAAAGTGACAGGGACTTTCAAGAACCTGGTGGCCTCTTCTGCTTTGTCATATGGGAAATGGGTACACTCTAGGGAAGGGAGTTCGCACAGCCAGAAGGAAGAAGTGCATGAAGCCTGGAAAATTCTGTTTCCTACAGAGGCAAGAGTAGGTGCCCGAATCTCATACCTAGTGCCCATCATCTTGCTCCTGCTTCACGTGCAGAATGATTTTTTTCGTTTGGCTGCTGGAATATGTGTTGATTGCCGTGTGATTGCTGCAACAGTACTAGTAGCATCAATGAAAGATGTGACAAAATGCCAGGCGTGTCCCACCCAGCGTCTGGCTCTGTGGTGGCGCCATCCCTCTGAGACCCGAACCAGAAAGGAAGAGGTCTGTGTTCTGAGGAGGACGTTAATGACTTCACAGTCTAGTGGCCTCCAGTTTTTTCTTAGCCACGTAAACCATCCTCAGAAATGCCAAATACCCGCGATTAAAACGGAGTTGCTCTTTTTGAAGTGCAGAGCCAGGGGGCAAGAGGGCTGGAGAGCGGAGCACTGGACGCCTTCCTTTCACCCCCTGCAATGGCTCCTAAGGCACTTTTATGGAACCCCTAGAATTCCATCAATCACCATTTGAAAATCTCTGCCCTGCAGGCATCCTTAAACAGTTGATTTTAATTTCTATAGACCTTAAGTTCATGTCACTAATCATCCCCAAACCTCAAATCCGAGGCCCCACATATATTTTATCTGCCCCGAGTCTCTTCTGCAGGGCATCCCAGGGTACAATGTTGGGTTTTTCCTTTATCTTGCCAATGCAGTTGGGGTGAACTTTCTTTTTCTGTTTCCTCCTTCCTCCTCCCTCCTCCCTCTGCAGTTTCTTAGCGAGGTTGGGCTGTTCATCATGTCTGGACTATTTCACGACCCAGGGGCTGACCACCATCTATCAGATTGAGCATTACTCCATGGATGTAAGTAACTGTTAGACTTTTCTCTTGAGTTTTATTTCTTAATGTCCTCCCTCTGGTGACATCCACCTGGTAGTCCAATCCCCTCTGTTTTTCTCCTACTCCCAATCCTCAGTTTTGTTGGAACCCACAGCTGTATTAGAGAGGTGCCCAGCGCACAGTCTTCCCCGGCTTGTCCAATCAATCGGCAGTCATTTATTGCATGCCTACCATATGCAGACTGGGAAAGAGGAGATCTAATTCCACCTTCAAGGAATGTGTCATCTCTAAAGAATTTAGAGGACTTGTTGGATATTCTCATGAATTAGTATAAGATCCCAGGGAGGGTCATTAGCTAATGAGTTGATGACAGAACCAGGAATAGAACCCCAAGCTGTAAGCTTCTGGTCTTTAACTCTATTCATTGGCCTTTTCTGCCTTTCCTTAAAGTAGAACATTACAGGGGACTGAGCTGTGCCTCTCAGTTAGCACCATATGTTTACTCACGATCAGTTCTACTAGAATGGAGCCCAGCCATTCTTGATCATTGGGAAAGATCTCTGGTCATGGATTCAAGTCCCAACCATGCTTTTTAGTGGTAATGAGAACCTGAGGTTATCACTTTGCTTCTCTGGGCCTCAGTTAATCAAATTGGGTTCAAGATCACTCCTTTCTTGCTTTGTTAGTCTCTGGAGCAAGCTGGATGGGGGAGGGGCACTTTTTCTTGCTTCCTACGGCGACTGGAACTACTGCTCACGTGGGAGCTCGTCTTGTTCTGGTTTATGGCAATCTGGTTTCACTCCCCAGCTGCTCTTCATGCTGCTTTCTTCGGGGTTCACTATCCTCCCTCCCGGCTTCCAGAGGGCCCTTTGGGCTGGTGGAAGAAGACACTCTCTGCCTCTGCTGCTGCTTCTGTAGTTGGGACCCCTTTTCTCCCCCTCCTTGAGCACCGATGCTAGAGACATCCCTGCAAATGTGAGAACGCCCCAGCCCCATGGTGACAAATATGTGCTGTGCTGTCCCTATGCCCACCCCTCTCCACCCCCTAAATCACCCCTGGGCCTTGTGGAAGAAATTCCTAGTGAAAACTACAGAGAAAGCTTTAGGAGTAGGTTCTGCCAGGTTTCGGATAACTTTACAATGATGTCCATCCACTGAAGACAGTATGTTTGACACCAGACAGTGTGTTGCCCTGTGTTTGAGAGCCCTCCATGATGGAGCAGGGAATTTGTCCTTCCCTGTGCTTTTTAAGTTTTACCATCCACTTGTTCACTTGTCCCCACTGGAAGGTGTGTCGGGGTGCCCCCTCGGCTGTTAGGCTCTGCCGATGCTCTCCACAAGTCCATCTCTACTGGTGCTGGCTGGGTCCTGTGCCAGGCTCTGGGCCACAGCTTTCTCACCTGTCATTATAAGTTAAAACCTACCCAGGGAGTCAGGCAGATTAATGGAGCCTAGTTTACAAAGAGTTTTGGACTTACTGGGAATTTCAGAAGCATAAAGAGCTATGCTCACTTATCTATTTGTAGATTACTTTCTTTATAATGTATTCTTTTGCTAGAATAGGAAATTGGAGTACCCATACTGCACGTCTCCAGACTGGGAAGTATTGGGAGGCTATCTGATTTCTGCATCCTCACCTCAGCTTCTTCCTGCTCATCACTGGAAATAGACCCCTCCTTTTCAGCTTGTCTCTCAACACGTCTCTGGGAAAGGAATGTGATTAAATTTTGGGAGCTCCCACTAGTACTCCCTCTAAGATGCAAGGAGGGGTTAATAATGGTATAACACAGTAATAATACAAATGGTTAAGATTCCTACAGTATGCTTTATAACTTGCAAAATACTTTCATATCCATATTTACATATGAATCCACGAGATGTGTTGACCTAAAAAGAAATTGTACCCATTTTACCAATGAAGAAACTGAGGCCAGTAGAAAATAACGGACTTTGATGAAGGTTTAGAATCATTCAAGTGAAAAAACAATAACTTTTGACGAGGTGCTCTGACTCCTAGCCTAGTGTTCTTACTGTGTTGCTCCATGAAAAATGTGAACTGTCACCAAAACAAGCTAGTGAAGAGCTAATGCAGACAGATACAGAGATGCCACCACAGTTAGTTAGATCAACCATCTTTGTAATGCCTTCTACCACCAACCACAGAACATGGACACATACTCTGCATTTTGATACCCTGATTTTTCCAAACACCAAGAAACTTCTTGGCTATTAGGGAAGTTTTAAGCTCAGAGGCTGTCCTGAGTTCCCCTGTTCATTCACTTAGTTGTGTAACTTTAGAATTATCAACCTCTTGGACCTTCAACTTCTCTGTCTATAAAATAGGTGTGATATGTACCACTAATCTTAGCATTAAATGAAATCATGAATAAAAAATAATTAATTCAATGCCTGGCATGTAGAATGTGTTCAGTATCTGTTAGTAATCTTTTTTTCCTATCTCCTCCTTTGAGAAGTGGTGGCATTCCATTAATATCTTTCTTCTAGTGACTAGAGCCAGGTAGATTTGAGAGTTGGAAAGCACCTTTACCTTATGTTTTTGTTTTGGGATTTTTGTTCTCTGATCTAAATATTATCTCTATTTGACCAATGAATAAACTGAGACCAGTAGAGAATACGTAAAATGTCATCTACGAGAAGAGAAGACACCCCAAGGCTGTACCCTTGTGCTTGGTTACATATAGTGCCAAAGATTATTAAAGAGATGGTTTTATTTTCCAGTTTAGAGTTGAATAAAATGCAGGTCAGTTAGAGCATTGGGGAATGACAAAATGGTGTGGATTAAAGGTCAATTTGTCTCTTTGTCCTAATTCTCCTGGATTCCCTTCCCTATTGCACAGGATTTGGCAAGTCTAAAAATCCCTGAGCAGTTCCGACATGCCATCTGGAAGGGCATCCTGGACCACCGGCAGCTCCACGACTTCTCCTCCCCTCCCCACCTCCTGCGGACCCCAAGTGGTGCCTCTACTGTCAGCGTGGGCTCCAGTGAGACCCGGGGTGAGCGCGTCATTGATGCTGTGCGCTTCACCCTCCGCCAGACCATCTCCTTCCCACCCCGCGATGAGTGGAACGACTTCAACTTCGACATGGATGCTCGGCGCAACAAGCAACAGCGCATCAAAGAGGAGGGGGAGTGAGCATTCCTGTGCGAGCACTTCCCATCTTCCCGTCTGCCCACCCACCCCCCTACAAGGCACTACTGCTTGACCTGCCAAGCACTCTCCCTAGGTCCCCTCCTCCCTCTTCTCGATCTGGCTTCCTAAGGGAAGGAGAAGTAAGAGGCTAACGTTTTACCTAATGTCCGACCTGGCATCTGATTCTGATTCTGGCTTTAAGCCTTCAAATCTATTGCTTGCAGGATTGAAATTGTCATGGCTAGGTAGAAGTGAGCAAAAACGCTGTGGGTGTCTCCTTAAGCTGTAGAGAGCTCTCACTGACTTTTATAAAGCATTTTCACCCTTATAGTCTAAGACTATATATATAAATGTATAAATATACAGTATATATTTTCGGGTGGGGGCATTAACTATTGTTTAAAATGTAATTTAAAGGATGAAATGGAGTTGCACTTATCAACTTTTTTTTTTTAATTGTTTTGGATGACTTACCTGTAAACCTTCTCTCAAGGCCTGCTGTGTATGGTAATAGGTACCTAGATTTCAATGGTCCATGTGTATGATGAGGATATATTATATAGGTCCCTTCGGTTCTTTTGATGCTAAACACATGCCACATCAGACCTTTGATTAGACCCAGTACTCTTTGCCATTGCTTATTGCGTGAGGGAGACTTACACCCATGTACGTGAATCTCTGTGTTGGTGTGTTCTGTGTTATTGACATCCCTGCTACCGATGGTAGTTGACTTTGGGGTCATTTAGTCTAATGACAAGGAAAAGTCCATGTTCACCCTATCGCTCACCAGAGGAAAGGAAGTGTCCTCTCTTGCTTTTGATTGGGATTGCGGAATATGAGTCATGGCTAAAATTCTTAAAAAGTTCACGGCAGCCAGTTCAGTAACACCTGGTATCGTGTATCTGAGTATACTGGCAACCTCCTCAGAGTTAATACCAGACATCTTAACTCTTAGTATTTATTGGGAAAGCATCTGCTGCCAGTACTAAAATTCACTGCTAGATTGATTAACTCAATTACACATTTGTTACCCTCGTTAGAATTAAGGTTGATTTGATTGGGATGAATGCCGTCTGCCCAGTTCTTGGAGTAAAGCTGTAATGTCTGTTAAAAATAACCAGGAAAAACAGGAATCACACAGAGATGTTGAAGCTCCACTAAACAGTTAGACATCTCAGTAAGCCATGAATTAAAATACTTGGAAGACTTTTGGAAACATAAATAATATTTGATAAATGTTTCTTTTAATGACCCTCCTGTTCTATGAGATTCTGCATATAGAAGCTTGTTTATCTTTCTCTCTTAAAGGTTTAACATAGGAGTAGTGATCTGGAAAATACAGTCATATGAGGTCAGTTTTCCTGTAGCATTGGTCGCATCACTGTATCACTTTTCTTTTTGAACAACGATAGTTTCACTTTGTTGGAAAGTAACTGTGAGAACCCAATTTCCCGTCCATCTCTCTTTCAGACTGTGCATGCACATACAGATGTCCCAACAGATCAGGGAATAAGCCTTCCATTGGAGATGTTGCTTGAAGCACATAAACCAAGATTTGTCTTCAGACTTTGGAAAAACATGTAAATGGCAATATTCCTGTACATCTTTTAGAAACATACTTTGTAGCAGAACACTTTTTTTTCAAACTACAAAACAAGTATTTTGTATATATGCTAATGAGTTCAAACCTCTCCCATGCCATCTGGTAAAGGGCTATCATTGCACATAAGCTTCCATTTTTATTTTAAATTGCAAAAGGGCTACTGTGACTCAAAAATACATATGAGTTTCACCTGAAAAATGTATATATATTTTGCATGTTGAATTGCATACTTTATATTTTGATTATTTTTTTTTCTTCTTGGGATAGCAGGTTTTCCAGAACCACAGTTGAAACTTTTTTATTATTATTATTGTTTTTATATTTTCATGGAAACATCATTTAGTAAGACTACAATGTCAAATACAAAAAAAAAAAATGCCGTACATGTAAGATGGGGGGAAGGGAAAGTTGTTTTTATTTTTTTTTAGTTTTGTATGTTAAAGAGAGTGAGTCCTTGATTTCAAAATTTTATTGTGATAAATGGCAGTAAGCACTGTTAACTGTGGAACACTGTTAGCTTTGGAAACCAATTAAGGGGAAGAATAAAACCATGCCTTGGCAGTACTAGGAGGGCCAGTGGCTTCCTCGACTGTCCTAAGTGTTTGAATAAACCAAAGACTTCTGAGGTATTGTGGTTAAATGGTAATAAGCACTGTTAACTGTGGAACAAGCATGCAGCTTTGGAAACCAATTAAGGGGAAGAATGGAAACCATGTCTTGGCGGTGCTAGGAGGGCCATTGGCTTCCTCCACTGTCCTGAGTGTTTGAATAAACCTAAGACTTCTTCTGAGCTATTTCGGCACTAATTCAGGTAGCGCTAGGGACTCCGAAATTCCTGTACTGTGTATCATGGGCTTGGCATTAGCCAAGGCTAAGCACAACTACTGGCCTCACATCCACTTACCATTTTTTGAGTGCATGAGTAGCTAGGATAAAGGGTGTAAAAATATTGAGCACAGACAAGTGGGAGTGGGCTTAATGGAGTTTTTGTGGCCTCAGCTCAATACAGGTAGCTGAAGAATGGTTAGACTTTTGTTCGGAGGTGATTGATTAGAAATGGAAATGGAGGAGAGAACTTTCTGTGTTAAATCCGTTTACCTTTTATTTTCTTGATAGTCCCCTAAAATACAGTATACGGGATATTGAATGTTAAAGGGTGTGTTTTTTATTATTTTTATAATTGTAAAAAAATTAAGTAAATGCCAAATGTTTTATATGCTTTATTAATGTTTTTGAAAAGTTCTTTCTTATAGATATGATACTTTTTTTTTAAGCTTCAGTTGCTTGTCTTTTGGTATTTTGTATACTGGGCTTTTGGTGAGCCAGAGGCCAATCTATAAGCCACTTATGTTTGCCAGGACATGCAATAAAATTAAAAAGAAATAAAAATGCATTGAGAAATGGTGTTGGTATATGGTGGGGGGGGTGTCTGTGTCTGTGGCCTTTGGCCTCATTTTCATTATCGAGGTAGAGGAAGAGATACTGAAAGAAACATTAGAGAGATTCAAATATTGATGCTTCTAATTATGAAGCAAATAATTATTATTTTCTTATTATGCCCAATCTAAAGGCCAGGAATATATACCTCATTTGGCACATAAGATACTCACAGATTTAAGATGTTGTTGAATTGAGGTCAGGATGAGTTTGCTTGGAAACAGGGACTAGACTGCAGATATTCCTAATGTTGAATTTAGTGAGCTTCCCACAATGCTTAGCAATGACCTCCTCAGCACCGAGGAGGATGCTAGTCACCCTGGGTGTACATGGGAACAGCACTGCTGATGGTGGGCTGTGGGCATGTTCCCCTTTAAACTCAGGGTTAAATATCACCTTTCAATGATATCCATTGATTCAACCAATAAAATATCTACTATCAAAATGGTTTAGTGATTTTTTTCAAAGAAGTAACTTGTTTTTTACAGACTAACATTAGATGGCATGAAAACAACTGAATACTTTAGATTTATAAATAACTTAAATTATAACATTATATATAATATATAGTATTTAAAGATATTAATGTGTTTTCCTGTTTACAGATGTAATCACATGATGAATAGATCCATTACCATAGGCAAGGCAGGTTCAGCTTAAACTTGGAGTACCAGAAAATTCCAATTCTTATCTCTTAAAATTTAAGTGCTCGATCCCCCCAAAATGATACAATGGGTGCCAGGAAAAAGAAGAATAAAAAGCAATGAAAATAGATAATCTTTGAAATATTAAGGCCCTTTGGACTCCATGGTCCTTTTTGTTTCAGCAGTTCTAAATATTTGTATGGCTGGGTGCTTTGTGACTTTCATTCTCTCTTAGAGGTCTTCTGAAGTGCATAGAAAAAAAAATTCAGCTTTAAGATTTTTTAAAGAGAAGTTTTAGGTTCATAGAAACACTAAGAGAAAAGTACAGAGATTTCCCAGATACCCTCTGACTCCACACGTGCACAGCCTCCCCCATTATCAACCTCCCCCACCAGAGTGGTACGGCTGTTACAACTGATGGCCCTACACTGACATGACGTCATCACCCCCAGTCCATAGTTTACATCAGGGTTCACTCTTGTGTTGTGCATTCTGTGGACCTGGACAAAAGCATAACGACCTGTGTCCACCATTATGGTGCCCTAAGGCGTAGTTTCACTGCCCTAAAAATTTTCTGTGTTCCACCTATTTAGCCCTCCCTGCCAAAAACTCCTGCCAGCAACTGTTACTGTCTGGCCATTTGTTCGCAATTGTCTCCGTAGTTTTGCCTTCTCCAGAATGTCAGCTAGCTAAAATCATACAGTATGCGTTCTTTCCAGGTGGAATGCTTTCACTTAGTTATATACACTTAAGTTTCCTCTGTGTCTTGTCATGGCTTACTAGGTCCTTTCTTTTCAGCATTGAATAACATTCTATGATCTGGACATACCAGTTTATTTGTTCATTACCTATTGAAGGACCTCTCGGTTGCTTCCAAGTTTTGGCAGTTGTGAATAAAGTTGCTATAAACATCTGTGTACAGGTTTTCACATGAACATACATTTCCAGCTCCTTTGGGTAAATACCAAGGAATGCAATGGCTGGATTGTATGATAAGAATATGTCTAGTTTGATAAGAAACTGCTCAACTATATTCCAGAGTGGCTGTGCCTTTCCATCAGCAATGAATGAGGGTTCCTGTTGTTCTCTGTTCTGGAATTTGACCATTCTAAAAGAAGTGTATTGGCATCTCAATGGTTTAATTTGCATTTCCCTAATGACACAAGTGGAGCATCTTTTCATATGTTTATTTTTCATCTGTGTACGTTATCTCTTTTGTGCAGCGTCTGTTAAGGTCTTTGGCCCATTTTTCAATCAGTTTGTTCTCTTAAGCTTGAACTCTTAAGAATTCCAAAACTACCTTAAAAAAATAAAAAAGGATTATATGTATTTCTTGTAATCATCAGAGGATTGTTATACCCTTTTATAAATCTAAAGTGCAGTATGGAAAGTTAGCTGTTTTTCTTTATCTTGAGACATTTTCTCTTTTTATCATCATAGGAATTACTTTAGCCCAATTTATCAATCAATTCAGTGATCTAAAAAACTAAAGACTAAAATTTTAAAAAAGGAAGAATGGTGGAATTGTCCAAAACTGTGCTAACGTGGTAGCCTTTAGCTATTTATGACTACAGAGCAATTGAAATGTGGCTACTCAAAATTAAGAAGTGCTAGCAATGCAAAATATAAATTATATTTCAGAGACTTAGAATAAAAGACTATAAAATAACTCATTGATAATTCTTCTGTTGATTGTGTTAACATACATTACAGGTTAAATAAATCTGTTACTAAAATAAATTTTACCTTTCTATTCATACTGTATCTGCCTACTAGAAAATTTAAATTTATGTAAATGGCTTTCATTACAGTTTTATTGGACAACTGGTTTAGAAAGATGATGCAATAAGAAGACAGGAGAGTGATGATTAAATGAATTTACTATTGTATAATTATCCAGTTTTCTGACTATGTTGCCCAAAATTCTTGCATCATCTTTCAAGAACATATAGAATGAGAGACACTTATCTTTATAGTCTGCTTTTAGATTTTTATAAGAATTCAGAATTTTTTTTTAAATTTTCTCCTCATAAAGCCAAAAAGATTAAAATTGACAGAGGAAGTTGTTTCAAAATTGTTAAATCAGAAGATGACCATAAAGAGACTGTCACTTTGGATTCAAATGATAATGGTGAAATGAATTGTGTAAGTTAAATTTCTGGCTGAGTTTTTCTGTGATGATATCTTAGATGAACTTTCTCAAACAAAAGGCTTAGTGGTTGAGCAACATGATTCTAAGGATGAAAAGGAGTTATGGTACTTATAGTTAATTATTAAACAGGTGAATTTCACCATGTAAATTTGAGAAACATCCTGACCATCCTATTTTGCTAAAACGACATGTGACAGTATTCTTTAGCTCTAATGATTCTCGTCACCAAAATTTACCCAATATACTTCACAAGTGGCAAAAACTGAAGGTAGGTATGTATCAAAGGTAATTGGAAGGAAATAGATAATGTAGAAATTTAACTCATGGACTTGATCATTCTAATTGGTGTTTATAAATGTAAAAATTAAAATATTTTTTACTTTTGGTGATTCTTTAATTTTTAAAAAAATTTTTAAAATTTATGGAGGAAGTAATTAGGTTCATGTATTTATTTTTAATGGAGGTACTGGGGATTGAACCCAGGACCTTGTGCATGTTAGGCACACACTCTACCACTAAACTATATCCTCCCCTCTATTTCACAGTTTTGGAGCAAAGACCATGGCCATTATCTCTTCAACAAAATCATAAGCCATCAAATGTTACAATTTTTTTTTAAAGTATTGCAAACGTTGATGAAACACAGGATGCAAACATATCAGGGATGTATTTGAAATCAATACATACAGGATGGTTGTGTCCCAGATAGAACGATAGTTCATGAGCAGTTAATTGTATTCAGACCACTCATTTTGTGTATATGTATCTCTAAAATCATGAAAACAAGAACATTTTAGGTTTACCTAAAATTTTACAGTTGTTAAAATTTCTGATGCTGCTGTTTTTCTCTCTTTTCTTACTTTTGTATTTCATAAAGTTACTAAAATAATTTTAAAAGAAATTAGATACAGATGATAATAGATAATGACTTTTTTCCTATTATACTGTTAGTTATTAGAATAACTTAACTAATAATACAGAACACCAAAGGCTTAGTATTGAATAAACATGTTTGAGTTATCTAAAATTTGCATAGGATTTCTGAGGGCCAGGGATCATATTTCTGTTTTTTTGGTGCACTGTCTAAATTATCTAGCAGGTAACCCAGGGATTTTGTCAGTATACAAGACACTTCTGCCAGCAAAATAAAAGTATGAAACACAGGGTTGTATGTATGTGGTGGGGTATACACAGAGTTGTACGTGTGTGGCAGGGTACATGCTAGAGCCTTCCTGACAGGGAAGATACCCTTAATCTTGACTCAGGGCGCTCACAGGCTAGCAGGAGACAGATGGAAACAGTATTCATTCTTCTTCCAACAGTTCTTTCTCTTTTCACATTCCACAGTTCTCTTACAAGGTAAACTAGAACATAGGACACTTCCAACCTTGAATACAGACATCTCTTTGTAACCATAAAGGCCTTAGTGTTTATTATTATTTTTTGAACTCAACTGACACTTTTTTTTTTCCCAGATGCTTCAGACTCATTCCAAAAATGGTTATGTAGATGTATAGATTTTCATGGGAATACAAAGAGAGTGAAAAGAATTACTGAGCTGAAAAAAGTCTGATGCCTGGGGCCCGATGCTTAATTTTCTGCACCTCAGTTTCCACATCTGTAAAATGAGGAGTGTGAACCCCTGACTTAGCAGTATTTCAGTAAATATCCTTTAGGAGAGAGCTGAGGGGTGGCATAAAACAGCTCTGCCAAAATAGATGTGGGGCTATAGTTTTAAGACAAATTACAGTCTGAAAGCTAAAAAAAGTATATATGTGTGTGTGTGTGAGTAAGTATAATACTTTTTGTTTTTTCAGGTAGGAGTAGTTCATTAATTTAAAGTTGTGCTTTCAAAGTCAATGTTGGGTGTGTGCTTAAATTTTATGAGATTTGTAACTCCTCGCACTAATCCCGAATCTGTGTGCCAAGTAGGTGGCAAGTACCAGCAGGTGAATTTCTCTTTTGTGATTCAGATCAGAATTCTAGGCCTGGGACCTTGGAGGTACAGCATTTTGTAATTCGAGTAAAAGTTAGATAAGGAGGGCTAAGAGACAGGAAGAAATTTCTAGCAAAGAGAGCTTGGCTTAGAGAACAACATATTGGAAATTAAGAACTTTCAGGCACTGTAGTTCATCTGACATTTGCTCTATAATTTTGAGAGTAACTCA